TGAGAATCACTAGATGGTATAGCTAATAAGTCATCAAAAATTTTAATGTCTCTGCAGTATTTAAAAATTATGTTAAATGCATTTTTGTCGTTCAGGGTTTACAATTTGTGTGGGCACGCTAATCAATTTGCCCTTGGAAAGATAAGGCTAATCAGCAAATGAATTCCAAATTTTAAAATGCAGCTGTTAAGGATGATGTAGGGACATGTACTATATGTTAAGTAATGTGATCAATGCTTTATTGCATTATTTTACTTAATCCTCAGAGAGCTCTATAAGCTAACTCCGTTTTGCTGATGGGGTTTACGTTTTTCAGAGAGGTTATGTAACTTGTCCAATGTTGCACAGCTAGCAAAGTATTGGAGACGAAATGTAGACTCCAGAGCCCATGCCCTTAACCATGCCATAAGGGAATTCAGGCCACTTGGGGGCAAGAAGGTCTGAGAGGCTTCTCAATATCAATTATCTCTTAATTGAGGGTATTTGTTTTACAATATGTATCTGAAAGGAGCTTGAGAAAATTAAAAAGAAAACTGGATGCAACCTCATCAACAGGTGAGGCTCTTGTCTGGAAAATGTGCTTTCAGTATGGTTAGTTATAATCAAACGCCTTTTAAAAGTAATTGTGCTGAGTGATGTCTCTTCTGGCCAAATCAAACAAACACAATCCATATCCTCTAGATACCAATTCACGTGGCTATGCAGAGGACATGGATGTTTGACCAATGAGCCAAGAACATTCAAAGTGCATTCAAAGGCAAGGTAAAGATTTACTCTGGGGCTTCCCTGGTGGCGCAGTGGTTGAGAGTCCGCCTGCCGATGCAGGGAACACAGGTTCGTGCCCCAGTCCGGGAAGATTCCACATGCCGCGGAGCGGCTGGGCCCGTGAGCCATGGCCGCTGAGCCTGTGTGTCCAGAGCCTGTGCTCCGCAACGGGAGAGGCCACAAAAAAGAAAGATTTACTCTGTACCAAAGCATTGGACTTTTCTGCTCCACTAGATCAGGCTTGGCAGGAAAAGGAGGAAGTCTTCCTGGAAGGAATGGGAGACCAGAGTGAAGATGGATGCCACTTTGGGTTTAATTTGAGAGACCAAAGATAGATGGGTCTGAAGAGTGGGACCAATGCCAACCCATCTAATTTGGCCTCCTGCCCAGGACTGTGTCTAACTCACCAGTCAGAGACAAGCCTCTTGTTCCACCCAATGGCAGTCATTTAACACACACTATATCTTCTCCCCAGCAGGCCTGCCCACCAGCCCTGGGGTGTTCCACTGTCCTGAGACTCAGAGAGAGGCTGTGTTGCAAGTTCCTTCTTTGATAGGTGTGAAGGATGGATCCTCTTAAATCCTGGCAAAGGTACTTTGTTCAGACCCCCAGCGTCCCCTTCACAATTGAGAAGCCATGAAGTTTGTCTTGCGAAGGTAGAGCTCCTTCCCAGCATTCTAGAGGGAAATTCCATCAGTGCTTTCTAGATACTAATCTGTCCTCTTGGCTTTATCCAATGTACTTAATATACAGTCATCTATCTGTAATATCCCAACAGTAAATTCCACTGCCAACAACTCCATTCTCGGGCTTCTGTGTTGCTGTGGTGCGTGTCATCATGAGCTCTATCTTCTGGCTCAGAAAGGTGTACAAAAGTCACTTCTCTCACAGTTTAATTTATTTATCCAACGTTTGTGTATTACAGACCATGTACCAGGCACTATTCAAAGCATTTTCCTATTATATTAACTCGTTTAATCTTCATAACAATCCCATGAGGTGTTATTCCCATTTGGCAGATGAGGCTTAGAGAAGTTAAGAAATTTGCCTGATGATGCACAGCTAGTAATTGGTAAAGCTGAGGTTCAGACTTAGGCAGGCAGACTCCAGAGCCCCTGCTTTTATTTTATTTTATTTATTTATTTATTTAGGCTGCGCCGGGTCTTAGTTGAGACATTGTGACTCTTAGTTGCGGCAGGCATGCGGGATCCAGCTCCCCAACCAGGGATTGATCCCAGGCCCCCTGCACTGGGAGCGTGGAGTCTTACTCACTGGACCACCAGGGAAGGCCCCAGAGTCACTGCTTTTAATCACTGAGCTATGCTGTCCAAGAGAACTTCAGAGTGACCCCTGATGGATGTCTGTTAACGTAAGAGAGGGGCATAGAGCTCAAGGCAAGACAGGAGGCCAGAGCTTCAGAAGTATAGCTGATTGGGAGATGGGAAGGGGCTGTAAAAAGAAACTTATTGATACATTGCCTGTGAGGCACACTCTGGCTTGTCCGGCTCCCCACTCCCACTTTAGTTTTGGTCTTCTTTTGTACCAAACTGTTAGTCATCGCTGGCTGTAAGTGCTTGCTGGGTGACTCCTTTCTGCTGCCCTTGGGTCTGGATTTTTTTTTTTTTTT